GCATCTTACTGATGTACTCCTGGATGCTCTGGGTTTTGTCCAGGACAGTGGCTTTGACACCGGACCCCGCCTGCCCTCTTTCCAGCTGGTGTACAGTCTCTGGGTGTTGGAGTTGAGGTGGAAACCTCAGTACATTGTGAGGAGCTTCCAGGTCTTCACATCAGCAGCCTCCATGTCCTCCTTTGGATAGCTCACTATACTGGCAGGGTATTTGATGAGTGGCAGGGTGCATGTGTTGATGGCATGTATCTTGTTCTTCCCATTGAGCTGGTTCTTCAGGACCTGTCTTATCCTTTGGTGGTGCTTGGATGTTGCTGTTTTCCTTGCCTTCTCATCATGGTTCTCATGTGACTGTGAGATACCAAGGTCTGTAGCTTGTCTGGATGTGTGCTATGTGGCCTGCTGGTAGTTCCACCCCATCAGTCTTAACTATGTTCCCTCTCTTTACTACCATCTGGAGACACTTCTGCAGTCCAAATGACATCCTGATGTCCTCACTGTGGATCTGTGTCAGGTGGATCAGCGAGTCGATGTCTCATTCATTCTTAGCATACAGCTTAATGTCATCCATGTAGAGAAGGTGGCTGATGGTAGTTCCACTCTTGAACTATAATGCATGTGTATGTGTATATATGCATGTATTTGTACAAGCATATACATTAGAAGATGTTGCTTTGCCTACAGATGGCCTGCTGCATTTAAAAATAATTATAATGAGATGATCATTTTAGGCACTACACCAGTTAATTCAGAGATGCAGTATGAAACTGTCAGATATGTATATTGAACATGTTGAATCCATTGACATCACTATATTCCCATTAGATTCTTTGGGTTCTGTCTAGATATTTATTGCATGTATAAACATCTAATGCAGGATTTTCTGTAGTAATTCTATACTACCAGTAGAAGAGAATATCTGTAGCTCAGAGTTGAACTGTGGAGTCCTTGGTGTTTTCTGAGCTTGATTGTTTTCTTGCAGACATTTCATTACCTGACTAGGTAACAACTTCAGTGCTAGAACGGAGTGGAGTTTGCTCTGTGTTTATATACAGTCATTTGCCCTGTCAGTGTTGGAGAGGGTGTTGTTTTCTCCTACGTAGTTCCTTGATTAGGCTGTTGTTTACTGCTTGATTGTTTGTCTGATTTGGTAGTTCCTTGATTAGGGTATTGTTTACTGTCTGGTGTTAATCCCCATTTGGGTGTTGATTGCTGGCAAGGAGGTGTTCTGGTCTTTTTTTTTTTTTGTATTCAGACAAGTATTGTCTTGGGATTCAGATGAGTCAGCCATCAACAGGCACATAGAGATAAACAGCATTTACACACCATTCAAAAGAGACAACAGAAAGGAAACAAAAATACCAGAACATCTCCTTGCCAGCAATCGACACCCAGATAAGCAAGGATTAACACCAGGATTAACACCAGACAAACAAGCAGTAAACAATACCCTAATCAAGGGACTACCAAGGAGAAAACAAAACCCCTTCCAACACTGACAGGGCAAGCTACTGTATATAAAGACAGAGCAAACCCCTTTTCCTTCTAGCACTGAAGATGTTACCTAGTTGGATAATGTTTCCTGCAAGGAAACAACCAAGCTCAGAGACCACCAAGGACTCCATAATCTATATTGCCAGAAGGCTAATTCTGATTTACAGTGAATTGTGCAATTTTTGTTTTTTTAAGTATTAAAGTTTAATGCAATCATTTTTGTGAAAGTATTGTGTTTTACTTTCAGTAAATTGTTTGTCTTGGTTCTTTACAGCCCCTTGATTTTCTCTTAAATACATGTAAAGTTCTAGTAATTGGAGCTGGAGGATTGGGATGTGAACTCCTGAAAAATCTGGTAACAGTTTAATTTTTATCTCTTTACAATTTGCCCTATTCACTTATTTACTATGATAGTTCATTTTGTATGGTTTCCTCCTGACTTACTCCAAGTAGATCATGTCATTTGGTTTCATGTGTTTATATATAAAATATGATAAGAGGTTTTTTTTTTAAGCAATAAGGTCGTTACAGATTGCATTCAGGAATTAAAAAAAATATTATACAGAATAAATACATAAAACACATCCAGTCTGACAGACTCTTCATATCTGTGTAATCATACGAAAACAAAAATATTAGCATGTTATTCTCAGAAGTTCACCCAGTATATTTAAAATATTGGCATGTTTTACAAAATAACAAACTTTCATTAATTTATAAGCTCAAGGAAGCTTTAGCTGAGATGAAGTTGCTTTAGCTGAGATGAAGGCTAGATAGAAATTTTAAAATCTACCTATAGACTTATAGGCCAAGTTAGTCATAATGGTTGGGAATAATATGCATTACAATCTGACCTGGACCAGAAGAAGGGCATCTGATTGGAGAAGGCAGTTAATTTGTGTTATTAACTGATAGACCTTCATTTTAGTTGGTTCCATTAAGAGGACATCATTGAAAAATAAGTTGTTATGAAAGTCATAACAGCTTTTCTTTTCCTTTTAAAAGCTGTACATTTAATCAGAAATGTGGCAGTGTTGATGATCTAAAATCTGGCTAATAAAATATAAAGATATTACACTTTAGTTGGTCTAGCCGAGCTGGTTTTCAGTTGGTGCAGGTTCGTGAGGACTAGTCTCTGATTGGTTCTTTGTGTCTTATCCTGATTATACCTGATCCTGACTGGTAGTTTTGGTGGTGTTGGTTCCTTTGTTCATGCTGGGTAAGGAAGAAGTTGGGGAGCTCTTATGAGGCCACTGTGAGGAATATTCTTGGCATTTGTTCAACAAAGCCGCTTGACTTCACTCAGAGTTGGACTCTGGCTGGGCAGTTCCTTTGGACATGTCTGAGCCCAGTTATCTAGGACGAGTTCAAGCCGATTGAGCTGAGGAAGTAGACAGGCTCCTTGTGACTATGTTCAGCCACCTCTGTTCTAGATCCATGCCCCTCCTGCTTAGTAAGGGCCTCATGGGAGGTGGTATATGGTTGGGTCCAAGCGGTGATTAATGCCTCTTTGCAGGAAGGGATAGTACTGCCTGCCTTGAAGGAAGAAGTGGTACACCCCCTTCTCAAGAGGCCATCCTTGGACCCAACTGTGTTAGACAACTTTTGTCCAGTCCTCAACCTTCCCTTTTTTGGGAAGGTTGTTGAGAGGGTGATTGGTGCTCAGCTACAGAGGGCCCTGGATGAAGTGGATTATCTGGATCCTTTTCACCCTGAGCTCAGGCTGGGGCACAGTACTGAGATGGCATTGGTCACGCTTGCAGATGATCTCTGGAGGGCTCAGGATGGGGATGGTGCAACTGTCCTGGCCCTCCTGGATCTCTCAGTGGGCTTTGATACCATCGACCATGATATCTTTCTGAATTGGCTTCAGGGGTTGGGAGACACCATTTTGTGGTGGTTCTCCTTTCTCCATGACCAGTGTTGGTAGTGTGGGAGGGAAGTCGAGCCCTAGCCCCTGCAGTGGAGGTTGTCTCAGTGCTCAGTCCTCCCTCCTCCTCTCCTCTCCTCTCCTCTCCTCTCCTCTCCTCTCCTCTCTCCTCTCTCCTCTCTCCTCTCTCC